ATATGCAGTGTATTATTTGTTGAAACTGTACTTCTGATTTGATTTGAAACTGTCTCATTGCTATCTGTTTATCAATAAAACTGTAGAAAAAAAATAAAAAAAAGAAAACAAAAAAAAATAACAGTATCAAAATTTTAACTTCTAAAAGAGCACTGCAGAAGCTAAAAAGAACTCAACTGGACCAGGAAACTGTAATTCATTTAGCAAAGTTTTCCTTTCCTTTTTTATTGAACTTCACTAAATCTACAGTATTAAAAGCTAGTCTATAATGGATGTTTCATTTATACCTTGGGTTCAACATTATGCTTTAAAGTTCTGGTTGTAAGAAATTTACTTGAAAAAGTTCAAACCACCATGTTGTAATATTTCAGGTGTCAGCTATGGATTCTTTCCTGGAGTTAGTCCCCTAATTTGGTAATATATATATATTTTTTTTTTCTTTTTTTTTAAATTTAGTATAGGCTATACAGGGACTCACTACACAGATCAGACTCATAGTGATCCCCCTGTTCTCAGCCTCCTAATGCTGGGATTACAGGCATGTGCCACCACACCCAGTCTCAACTGCAGTCTCAGTGTGTCCTGGGGGCACAGCTGGCAGGGCATCCCAGGGATCTAATCCTGGTCCCTCCAAATTTGGTAATAAAAGTCATTGATCCTAATTAGCACTTTCTGGCATGTGCCAGACCCCATAATACACTGTCTTAGCTACTTTCTTGTTGCTGAGACACATCTGATAACCGTAACTGTAGGAGGAGAGGGTTATTTTGGCTCACAGTTTATAGAGGTTTCAGCACACAGTATGGATTCCAAGGCAGGGCAGCATGGTAGAGGGGCCTGACAGCAGGTAAGTGCTCATGGCAAGACAGGCAGAAAACAGAAAGAGATCAAGGGAGTAGGGTCATATACTCTTCTAGGCCATGGGTCCAGACACACTTCCTCCAAGCAGACTCCACCTCACAAATCACATTCAGCTATAGTCATACACTGATACACTGATAATCCACGTGTGGTGTGTGGATGATGAGCCACATCCTTATGATCTAGTCACCTTCCCAAAAGCCACATCTATAAAGACATGAGGCATTACAGGGACATCTAGATATAAATGATAACAGAAATCAATTTAAAGAAGATTCTTCTGACAGTGATACAGCTCAGCAGACTAAAAACTCACTTAGGCAAGCACAGGGACCAGGGCTTGGCAAGCTCAGGGACCACATGCAGCGCCAGCCCTGCTCCTGTGGGTGTGCTGAGCCAGCCACAGAGGCTGGGTGTAGTGGCACATGCCTGTAATCTCAGTGTTGGAGAGGCTGGAAACAGGATGATCACTGTTGAGTCCGAGCTGGGTAGTGAAACCCTGTACCAAATACATTAATTAAAAAAAAAAAAAAAAAAAAAAAAAAGATTCTCACTTAGAACTCTTTTGCTTTTGTACAAAAAGTTTTACTAGAACATATACCTGCTAATCTGTTTACATGTTGTTTACAAAATTGCATCATCATCTCAAGAGATGTATAAAAAGCTTTCGATAAAGTCCAACAATCATTCATGATAAAAATCCAAACAAAAAAATCAGAATAGATGTTCTTATAACCTTAATCTGATAAAAGCTTTCTTATAACCTTAATCTGATAAAAGCTATCTATGACAAATCCACAGCACATGGCTGCTTTTGCATTAACAAAATTAATTTTAATATTGTATTCATAATGTCAGAAAAGGGTAATTGTAGCAGAGACCATAAATGAAGTATAAACCTTAAGATATTTATGGTCTCACTACTTAAAATATTTTTACACTCCTGATTTACACCTATTATGGACATTATTAATATATTAAAGAAAAAAGCTTTAAAATGTGTTTTCCTCTTTTATTAGCATATATTTGTGATACATGGTAATTATGTTCATCTTGGGAAACTGGCACAAATGCATTTAAATTTTTTTATTTGTAGTACATAAGGACTATATTTATCGTGGGGGAATGTATCCATGTACACACACATCTTAATTCATTTTTGTCCCCTTTCCTCCCTCTCCCTATAACCCTTTTTTCCCCTTACCTACTTAAAAAGATCTATTTCCATTTTTCTTTCAATGTTTTTAAAGTCCCTTTACCCTTCCTTCCTCTCATCTCTTTTTCTCCTTCCCATTTCAAGAAGTTCTCCCTACTTCCTAATATGTATTTTGCATTTTACTCTTTATTTGTATTTTAGGTTTTTCACACAAGTGAAGCAATGTAATATTTAAATTAATTTTACTTGAGATTATGGTCTCGAGGTATATCCACTTACCAAAAATGTCCCAGGTTTATTCTTTTTTAGGGTATAGTAGTGCTCCGTTGTATATAAATACATTTTTTTAACCATTCATAATGGACATATGGGCCTTTTCCACGATTCAGCTATTACAAATTGTGCTGCTATAAACATGGTTGTGCATGTATCACGGAGGCATGATGACTTTTATTCTCTTAGAAAGATCCTTAGAAGGATGATAGGTGTGTCTAATACAGCCATTAGGCTTAATTTTTTGAGGAATCTCCCCAGTGGTTTTCATAGTGATTGTACTAAACTCCTACCAACAATGGAGAAGGGTTTTATTTTCCACTCAGCCTCACCAGCATTTGCTATTGGCTGGTTTCATGATAACAGTCATTCTTTGTGGAGTGAAATGGAATCTCAGTATTGTTTTACTTTGTATTTCTGGAATATCCAATGATACTGAACATTTTTTTCATACATTTATTTGCCATTTGTACTTCTTTATCTGTGAAGTGTCTATTCATCTCAGATGACCATTTTTTACTGGATCTTTTATGTGGGGGAGTCTAATTACTGAATTCTTTAAATAGTCTAGATATTAGTACTCTGAAAAGTAGCTTGCAAAATTTCTTTTGTCTTTACTCTGTTGGTGGTTTCTTTCACTGTGCTGAAGCTTCTAAATCTGATGTGACCCCATTTGTTGATTCATTGTAATATTTCCTCTGCAACAGGGCTTTGTTCATAAAGTCTTTGCCTATACTTATGACATTAACAGTTTTACCTCTTCTATCTTCCAAGAGGTTGAATATTTCTACTTTAATATTTAGATCTTTAATCCATTTTTGTTTTAGTTTCATACATGGTAAGAGATGTGCATTCAGGTTCAGATTCAATCTTCAGCATGTGGAAAGCCTTCTAACATCATTTGTTAAAGAGACTATCTTTAACAAAGGTGTTTTGCTTCTTTGTCAAAGATAAGGTAGCTGAGTGTGCCTCAAGTTATTTCTGAATCCTCTATTCATGTCCACACGCTTCCCGCTGTCCAATATCATGCTGTTTTTATCATGGTAGCTTTGTTGTAAAATTTGAAATCTTGGATTGTTGTGTCCTCTGCCTTGTTTTTGTTGCTGAGAATTGCTATTGCTATTCTAGTCTCTTCTGTCGCCATACAAATTTTAG